TAGATGTTTACAGAAGTCAAACCCTGGAAATATTGGGGTACCGATATCTGCTACGTTGCATGGGGATACGGTTCTCCGGTGGGTAGGAGGCTTTCCCCACTGAAGAAAGAGACTGCTCTGACGGTAGCCAAGAAAATATTGGGGACAATAATAGTCCCTAGATATGGTATGCCAGAGGGAATATGGATCAGACAATGGACCTGCTTTTGTCAGCCAGAGTCCAAGTCAGGGACTGGCCAGGCTCTGGGGGGCATCAATTGAAGCTACCATTGTGCTTATCAACCCCCAGAGTTCAGGGCATGGTAGAGAGATAGTGAACCAGAACAATAAAGAGTACCCTGACTAAATGGCCCTGGAGCTGGCGGGGACTGCGCGTCGACCCCTCCTTCCCTCGCCCTGTTCGAGCCTGAACAGCACCCGTATCACTCTTAGGCTTAACCCTTTGAAATCACTGTATGGCGACTCCTCCACCCGTACGTCCCCAGGTAAGCCTGAGGCCCTCCCAAGTACACCCCAAGAAGCTGTTGCACAGGCTGTTTCGAGCTCTGCATGCGCGTTCACAAACCAAGTATGTGCCTGCCTTCAGGCCATTCCTATCACCGCGCTGCAGAGCCCTTGATGGGAGAAGAGTGCCGGTACATTTCATATCGAGTCTCACCAAATCCCAGGAGCGATTGCTGCGGTGTGGGTGATATGAGCATAACAGTAAATACCCTAGAGCCGTAGTGGAGAGGGTCGGTCGCTTTTTCAAATTATTCTTATTACCCCACTTCTCTCTAAAGGGTAGACGTCATATCAACTTGGATACACCACTCCACGTTGGAGGCCAGCCAACGATGAACGACCCTAGATACTGGTGCAGAGCCAGTGAGAGCGACGGATGGACCACGAGAACCCACTGAAGAAGTCAGGCTGAACTCAAGAGAGCAGCGCCATGAGAAGCCAGCTGAGTCCTATTCCTCTGGACTACTGTAGTTATACTGTCTAGACTCAGACTCGGGGCTGTGGCAACCTGGAGATGGATCCTCACTATCAAATGAAAATGTCAGTGCAGGGTTTGTTTTGTGCTATCTCCCGTGAGAGTCATTTGTTAACTTGGGGTGGTCGTGTTGGTAACGTGTGATGAACAATTTCAATCCCCACCAACCCCATAATCCTGACATGGGATACATTGTCAATCAAGAAACCCACGACCTGGTCTGGAACGTGTGCCTCTGGGGTGGCCCCTTAAAACAGGTTGGGTGGCCGGACTATATTTTATACCTTAGAAAAAGCCTCAAAAACCCCTAGAAGACAAGCCAGCACAGACGAATAGCGACTATCCTCAGGAGGCCTCTGGTGCTGCCCCAATCCCCAGTTCGGTGGTAACTGGACCATGGACCGAGTAAGACAGTAGAACGAACCTCCATGACGCCGCGAAATGGGTTTATGGCCTGTCCGGGATTCCGGCCCCCTCAGGAAACCGTGCGAGTGGTTGGGGTATTGGAAGTTAGTTATTGTGACCACATATGGTCGTTGTGTGACCACCACATGATGGGAATGGAAATGGCAGGCACAACGCTCCTTCTCATAGCATGTCCTATGTTCCAACCTTGTTAACTAAAAAACAGGCTATGCCAGTGAGACTGCAACCCTCAATAAGGGTAAACCTTTACAGAAAAAGGAAAGATACAGTATACGGCGTGTGCTCGATAACAGGACTCTCATCGGGGATATGCCTCTAGCCCAAAGACGCACGTTGTGCTCACTAAGTAGTATATCAAAGCTTAAAATCACCCGTTCTTCTCACCCCGCTCCTCCAATGATGTCCCCATGGATGACCTTAGACCTAACAAGGTACTTAACCTATCTCAACATCGTCACATGCTGTACTTTGTTCCAGCGCACGCTTCTCATGGGTAAAATCTATTTCCCAGAACAGTCCTGGCTGCCTCCCTCTTTCCCTCGTACCTGCATGGGTCCCTTTGACCCTCCCTGGCTGCATGACTTGGCAGGCTCGGCAGTCCCGGACGATGTCGTCTGCCACTCGTCCCTGCGACATGAACCTGAGCTGGGCGGTGTTTAACAGTTGTAACAGGGACAGAGTCCACAGAGCATCCCAGGATGTCAAAGTCAGGGTGGTGCTGGGAAGGAGCAGGCCTTGGTGGTTGAGCCTTGCTGGGTCAGGGCATGAGCCTGGTGCCCAGGAGCGAGCTCTGGCTTTGGGAGACTCCCCAAGCCTCGCTGTTCTTCTCTAGGACCAACACTGCCTGTTTGCCAAGAATGAGACAGAATCGGGCCACTTCCATTATTTTTAGGCTTCTTGTAGATTAAAAAAAAAATGCTGAACAGGCTTACAAAAATTGCGTTATGTATTTTCATGGTTTACATTTAACAATT